GAAATGTACAGAGTCAGAATTGTCCAGAGAGGTGGTGATTTGAAAAGCCATAACATGAAATGTTCACCAATACGCTGCCTGATGCCTGAGACGTTGTTTTCTGATGGTTTTGAGAGAAAGTTTTGGCCTAGAGGTGCATGTAGGGAGTTACAATCCCCAAAGAAAGTGTATTTTTCAGATTTACCCTTTGTTAGCATTACATGTAAAACACGTAAAAACTCAGAAGGCACATGAACGTTCACTGGTAGTTTTGGATCGTAAACAACATAGCTATATTTGTATTGTAGACATTGTGACCCCTGGTTCCTATCACCACCACTGTAAAGAAATCTGAATCAATAAGTTTCCCTACAATGAACCATTTCACATCAAACCACTCTGAATGACTTTGTTCGCACCCCGATTCAATTCTGCACACATTCGAAACAATAAGTGAAATTCCCCTTTAACGAACTGTATAAAAAGTTTGGTTGCCCCTGGTCACGTATGTTGTTGATAGAAAATAAGCCAACACATCTACAGAAAACACACTTCTGCACATTTTAATGCACAATTACTTATATGCTGAATTTAACATATTGGAAAAATTAAAACATAAAATATGCTGTGCAGAAGCACAGATAATAATATTTTATATAATTATATATATTTTACGGCTTCGTTTTTGTTATATTTTTTTCCAATATGATAAACTCAGCAAATAAATACAAACTGTGCACTAAAATAAATAAAAAAGCATCATATTTAACATATTTAATCAACATTTGGGCACAACAAGATGATGTATATAAATTTCACAAGATCTTTCAATGATAGAAGAATATAATGTAAGAATGAATACCTCCTTCACTTAATGCACATTTTAATAATAAGCCTATGGGCATGCAGACTCCCAAATCTTGATACAGATATATTTATAGGGCAGCGTTTTATACTAACTGAGCTTTAATGTTTCGGTTGCTATTCTCATTATCAACTCACTACAAAACATGGCTGCCTTTAATGACATCAGAATAGGAACTAGGCTAACCTCCATGTTCAGTGCAGCTGCTGGAGAAATGACCGGCCTCTATTGGCCCATAAACTGCCATTCTGTCATCTCCTTCACTTCTCATCACCATGTCACTTTCAACATACACAACCTTCGAGAAATGTTCGTTTTTCTTAATGCTTAATGTCAGTGTAAGGCAAACGTCTGCACAGTGTTTTTATTGGCACTAGTACGGTGGAATATATGAGTATGTTTTACTTCATAGCCCATTATACAACATACTACTTTATATCTGAAGATTATGTATCATACATCTCCAAATTTCATGTATCTCCAAGCTCAAAATGTGTTTGTTTGTGTGTATATGTTTATGTGCCTTATATTCTGTGTATCCAACAGATGAGGACAGACTGCCCATGTTCACGCCACTGAAATATGCTGTGTCAGCAAACATAAAATCTGTATTTGTAGCCAAAAAAATGTACACACATACACTAACACACATACACACATGCATCCAGCACACTGATATGGGATCAGGGGCGGTAGGCGTCCCTCTCCTAATCTGCCCAGGGGTCAGAGGGTATAAAAGCCCCATCGGTCCCTTTGCCTCTCCCAGAGAAAGCTCAGCGTAGACACCCAATCCTCCACCAGCCAGCAGGGCATAAAGAAAGAGCGGTGCTGCGCCCACACGGAGCCATATAGCTGTCAACCAGCCACAGCAGTGAGTAGAACTCTATGGAATTCTAAGTAAAATTCTAGAACTGCATAGAATGTGGGATGATGAGTAGAGTTCTGTATGCCTATGGAAGATGTAAGGGTTAATCGAATTCTAGGACGCTGAGAAATGTGGAGCTTCCCTGTTCCAGCCGTGTTGTAGCGCAATTCAAATATCTTTCATCTGTTTCAGTGTTATTCTCCAGTCAGTTCACTATATAGCTGGTGAATAGTGAATAAGTGAATGAGTGAACCGTTCCGAACGCAGCATAGATCTCTGTAACATAGAACTTATATAACATTACTCATTATGGAATATGGAATGGTGAGTAGGAGTCCAGAACTGTATGGGGTATGGAATGGTGAGTAGAGCTCTAGAACTTTGTGGAATATGGAATCCACACAAAGCCATATAGCTGTCAATCAGCTGCGGCAGTGAGTAGAACTCTATGGAATTATAAGTAACGTTCTAGAATGTGGGATGGCAGTAGAGTTCTGTATCCCTATGGAAGATGGAAAGGCGAATCGAATCCTAGGACTCTGAGAAATGTGGAGCTGTATTGCTCCGTTACAGCCGTGTTGTAGTGCTGTTCAGATTCTCAACAGTAAACCTTTCAGCTGTTTCACTGTCATTCTCCAGTCAGTTCACCATAGAACTGTAGTGAATAGTGAATGAGTTAATGAGTGAACTGTTCGGAACGCAGCATAGAACTGGAATATGGAATATGGAATGGTAAGTAGAGCTGTAGAACTTTGTAGAAAATTGAATGGTGAGTGAACTCCAGAACTCTATGGAATATGGAATGGTGAGTGAACTCCAGAACTCTATGGAATATGGAATGGTGAGTAGAGCTGTAGAACTTTGTGGAATATGGAATCATCGGAAGAGCTGCAAGTCATGAAGTTCTACGATTCCGTGTGGTACCTGTGGAGGGAAACACGCTTTTCTGGTGAAGCGTTTGGTGATGGGATAGTTGGGTTAGGGTTGTGCTCAAGGTCGGTCTAAGATGTGAGAACCTGACACCATTGGAGAAAATGCATGTACCATGAAAGAGAGATAAAGATTGAGAACAAATCCATTTATTTGGTAAACAGAAAATTAGAGGGAGATTTGTACGTAACAATAAGTTTCTCTCAGACACTGCAACACTTGAGAGAATGGAGAATGGAGGAAGGATCAAATGGACATCAGAAATATGGATGAATCATGCTAAACTAATTAAGTTCTGGGAGGAATTTTGATGGGTATTTAATTTTGGGGAATAATTCAAAACATTTGTTTTGGTTTATGCATGAGAAGCAAAAGCAACAGAGGTTTGAAATTCAACTCAGCAGTTATTTAGGCCTTATATGGGCCTAAAACCTGTTTTACCTGTACAAACTGAAACCAAAGTGGCTTCCAACAAAGGGCCCCACTTATCGTCATTACTATCCATTGTCGTGCACCATATCACAGATTCAGTCTGGGCGTTTGTCATTGAAGGAGATCACCAAAGGACATATTTTTTCTACTCTACTTTTCTGTGAGCTCAGCATGTTCGCTGTTGTCCTCTCGCTAATGAGATTAACTCAGGTCCCGATTGCTATTTACTGCGATAGGGGTGCACTTATTAACTTGAGCCCAGGATTATGCGAATTGGGTCACCCTTGGCAGCACTGTTGTGTTGAGCTCCTCCACAGGGTCTCAGACACAGACCACAGCCGCCGTGCTTCTCCACTCAACATGGCTGTAGATCTGTGTGTTGCTCATCAGAAAGAGGATTATATGGATACAGGCCCATTGCTCTGAGGTGGTGGGGAGATAGGAGAGGACAGGACAGCTTACAGGCCATTAATATATGCCTGGGTGAGGGCAGGGGTTACCAGTGTGGGGGTCATTCTAGTTTAGCTTTATTCATTTGGAATTGCTCTGAAAACCAATTCAATTATATTACATCCCATTTTAGTGGTTACTTGAAAGGTTATTTGTGTATTTGTGTTATATGTTGTTATATAGAACTGTGCTAAAGTGTTACGCGCATTAGCTAGTCATTTAAAATCATTTCAGCAGTAATTGTTTTTTGCTTGTAAAAACACCGGATCACATTAGAAACAAGTGTAAAAAACATTAATGCAGTAAAAATGAACCTGAATGTAAAAATGAAAATTGATGTAAAAATGAAAATGTTTTCAAAAAAAGGTTGATATCTTGGGAGCTGGTTTTTATGAGCCAAACCTTTTTAGTATTTATTAGCCAAACCAGATTTTGTCTAATGTGGCTGGTTGATTGGAAGATTACAAATAATAAAGGGCTGCCACAAAGAGAGGTTTGGAAATGATAAAATTAACATACTGACAAATTAAAATCGCTACGTTTTTCTATTATTCGATTATTTGTATTTATTCTAAGTTTAGTGTTATTATGAGCAAATGAACACTTACTGCCCTGACAAACAGCTTTTTAAATTTGCACAGTATTGTATATTAAAATACTACAAAAGTGATATCTTGACAAGTAAAGCCTTTTAAGTGAAAAATAAATCTTCTCAATATATAATATTTCTCATTATGAGTTTATTGTGAAATATTATAATATTATTTCTAGATGTTTTTTACTTGATCATTTAGACAATTTCACTAGAAAATTACAATAACTTCAAACAAGTAGAAATGTCTACAAATGAGTTAAATAATCTAACACTGGGCCTCATTCACCATCTGTTCTTAAGAAGAAATTTCTTCTTAAAATTCACTTCCGCAGTTTTTACGAAGATTCTGACATACAGCAATGTTTTCTTATCTGGGATTTGTTCGTAGGCAAGAACAGAATCTGCACACACTCAAGAGCACAAAGGTGGGATCACTTCTGCGGTTTAAGAAAACGTCATGAATCTGACGTAGACTTTTTCTTGGGACTTTTCTCAAGAACAAATTTAAGAAAAAAATTAAGAAGATATTGGAGAATGAGGCCCAACATTCTTACAACAATCTTAAAATGAGACATATTAGGCACATCAACTAGACTTTAGAAGTGATCATTTGCCAAGATATCATTTTTACATTTTTCTCTCCTTTCTGAGAATTAAAGTTTACGACATTGACAATGTGATGCGCTTAAAACTGACTAATTTTATGGTTTGCATGCTATTTTGCACCTGATGGTTTCAGCCTAACTGGCAGGCCATTAAACTCAAATGACAAACTCTTTCTCTGTACTATGCAGAAACCTACATCAGGGAGAGTGCTTACACAGAGGCGGTGAACGCAACAACCACCAAAAATGACCGGTGGTGACATTGAACATGCTGTACCCCCACCCCCCCCATCTATGGTTCTGGAGCCACCTAAACCAGAAGTCAAGGCAGCCACCCGTGTGAGCGGTGGCCCAGCCACACCACGCAAAGGCCCACCCAGGTTCAAGCAGAGGCAAACTCGCCAGTTCAAGAGCAAGCCACCAAAGAAAGGTGTCCAGGGGTAAGTGTGACCTCCCTTCGGTCATATATAAAAATAACGGTGCCGAAAATGGTTTAATGTCATAGAAAAAAACATTTATGGTTCCCTAAAGACCCTTTTAATGGACTTCTTTTAGAGAAGGAGACATGCGAGCGCGAGGAACCCTTGTTAAAGGACTACATTATGGGAACGTTCTCATACACTCATACCAACAGTGGTTCTCCTATAGCATCTTTACTTTTAAGAGTACGTGTATAAAACAGTCATTGGGAGTGATGCAATAGAAGAACCACTTTTGCATCACTAAAATTACCCTTCCACTGAGTTATCTAAAGAATCATCTAATAGTTTTTGAGGGAGCCAAAAATGTGGTTCTTCTATAGCATCGCTCCACAGAACCACAGAAACCTTTCTGGCACCTTTTTGGCAACTCCTATTTATGAAAAGTTTGTCTTTTCAGCTCATTCAACTTCAGTTGTTAGTATTGTTTCTAGCTATAAGTGTCCAGTTAGGGCCCCTGAGCCACCAGGGGCCCCTGAGTATGTACCTTTTACATTTTATTTAATATTACTGGTCAAAAAAAGCACAGTGAGTTCAGAGATGTCGTATATTGTTTCTTTAACAATAGTAATAATGTATTAATTCTTATTCTGAATATGACTGGGGTGTGTGGGGTGTGGGGGCTCTTCTCCAGTAAAATGTGGCCTAGAGCCTCCAAAAACAACCCTGATTGTTGTTATATGAACTACTTACAATGTTTCTGTATTAAACTTAATGAATTATTAAGTCTTGTTCTAGTCTTGCATACAAAACACTATGATTGCAATGGGTGGGTGTGGGCCCCCTCAAGCAGAGCATGGTTTGGGGCTACCAAACGTCCCAGGTTGTTACAACTAAGAATAGTTCTCCAAAGCGGTTAGACCGTAATCAGGGCTGTCATTTATTTACAATCATATCCTGATCTGTTCTTCCGCTTGGCCCAACAGCTTTGGAGATGACATCCCTGGAATGGAAGGTTTAGGCACTGGTGAGTGATCTTTTCGTTTTTTTTTTTCCTTCATCTCCTCCTCACGTGTGGTTTAGTAGCATCTCAGTCGGCGTCATCCATTGTTTATTCTTAGCTGCCCTTGGGCACGTATTAGAGTTTATGCCAGACGAGCTGTTCGCATTGGCCATGACTCGTCATAAAACGGTATCAGTGAGATTAAACAGGCTTGAGTGTTGTTCTCCTTGCAAGCTGCTTAAGCAAACCAGCACGAGGCTGGGTTAGAATGAAAAGGTCCTCCACCAGAGAGTGGACACTGACACTGTCGTTCAGTCTGAACTGTGTACACAGTGCCAAAAAATACTTCATGTGAATTCACGCTGCTGTGTCTTTCCCTGCAGACATCACTGTCATCTGCCCTTGGGAGGCCTTCAACCACCTGGAGCTGCACGAGCTGGCCCAGTACGGCATCATCTGAACCATCCATCTTCCCATCATCGTCTGTACCGTTTAGACCCCCCTCCGAACCAACTGCCTCCACCCTGGCCATGGGCTCCAGTGGGACCATACTTACACCTTATCACACAACACATTCAATAAAAAAGCAACATTTACAAAAATGGAAAAATCAAAGAAAAATTGTTAATTAAAAAAAAACAAACAAACCCATCTGTCTATCTGCCCCCTCCGGTTTCTTTCTTTCCCGCAGCCGAGGTACACACATTCTTTCTGCTCATACTGTAGGCCAAAACGCAGGGTTGTGTTTGACTCACTGTCCAGACAGATCGTGCTCCGTTGTCGTTTTAGAGGTATCGCCGGAAGACTCCCATCTTGTCCCCCTTTTCTCTTTCTGTTTCTTCTTTCTTTTCTATATCACCCTTTCTTTCGGAACAGAACTTGAAACTTATGCAAGCAAGACAGCCTCAGAGTGAGTGTAAGTGACACGCCCGTGAAATGATCAGCTTCTCGTTTCACGTGCCTCGGCCCCCTCCGCCGCCATCTCGGAGGTTCGTCCACCTTTGCCGAGTTTTAAAAAAAGATCGTAGTCCTGTAGAGGTGGGATGCCTGCTGACCGACGCTGAACAAAAAAAATCTACTAGGAATCTCAAAACTTCCCCCAAAATAAGAGTAAAATAAAAACATTCCCTTATATATAAATGATTGATAAATCATAGAAATTCGCTTTCTGACTTTCCCTTGTTATCCAGCCAACCTCTCTCTTCCTTTCCTTTATCTTTTTACTAGTGCTATTATGTATAAACCTCATAGGTAATACACTCAGGGATTTGTAAAATGTTTAGAAAGTAAGGACTTCTCGAAAACTTTGTCATCTTTTTTGGTCACTTCCTCGGCTGCTCTTGCATGCTTGCTTAAAAAAAAACACACTGTCCACTACCTTTGGCTAGTAGACTAACCACGGAGGAGAGGGGCTACATTTTTATAGGACACAAAAATAGAGACGTAGAAAGTGAGGCACCCTGAGATGTGGTCAAAGACACTGTTGTGTGTTGTTTGGTAATGGTCTTGGGTGGCTGTGATTGGGAAACAGTGCTAGACTGCCTTGTCTTTACCTGCATGCTTGTTTTAATACGTAGTTATTCATCAGCTCCTCCTCATCATCATCATCACTCTTTCTTTCTGTAGTTTCACTCTATTCTCTGTATATCTCTACTGTGCTCTATCGGTATTTTAATTGTATTGAAATCTTGTTGATTGTCTTTGCGTGTTTTATTTTTACATTTCATTGTAAGTTTATCATGAACTAATTTACTATGTGGAGCTTAAACCGAATTGCATGCTCCATCCATAATTTACTTTACGTCGTCCATTGTGTGCTGGCATTGTGCAGCGTGTGTATTTGTCTTACCGTGTTTATTTGTTACGTGTACATCTCTTTCCCCCCTTTTCATCTTCTATATGACCCATGTGTGCTGAACCATCATCCTACGTTTAATACATTTAATCCAGACACGTTCCTTTATTTCTTTTTTCTTTTTTTGGATAGTACACAGTGCTAAGCCTCTGTGCGTACTCTCGCTGTGATGTCTGCAGTGAGAGAACACAGCATGTTTGCACAAACATGAATATTACAAGTCAACTTTCACCCCATTTCCTCCTGAAACCTCTTCCTCTGGATGATGTAAAGGTTGTTTGGGAGTTTCTGCCACATTATCCTCCCTGGATCTGGTGGTATGTTGGCAGAAAGAGGTCAAAGGCCAGCTGTTTTACCCATTCACTATGCTCGAGAGATACCAATCCATTGCACACCGTGACTGTCTGTAATCAGTGACTGAAGTGAAGGTGTTTCTTCTCTACAGGATGAGATCAAAATAAAGCTGGAAAAAAAAGTGTAAAAGAATACATAGTGTGTTCAATGCAAGAGACTTTAAATCTACACTTCCCTTCCATTTTTTTAAAAAAAACTATGCTAAATAATTTCAATAAATCTGTTTCATTTGATCGGCCTTTATGTGTCGTCTACAAATAGTCAGGCCTGGGAGTTTGCCACCTCTTCTCCACCCTCAATCAAACAAATTAAAGGTTTGCTTTGATTCATGCCACAATGCTTTATAATGAGTCACTGTTAGTACTAAAACTACTAACTTTTATATCACTTATTGTGTTTATCTAGAACCAGTTTTGGTGTTTAAGGGCCTAATAGTGGACTTAAAGGGCCCATATGGTGGAAAATTAATCTTCTTCACTTTTTGGTATTAAGTTTGATGTAACGTAGCACACTGGAAATAACAGCCCATTTTTGAGTGCACTGTTTTCACAATGTCAAAACACATTTACATATCGCCACTGTCCAAAGAAAAAAAAAGTATCTCCAAAACAGTAACATTACAGGAGGGAGCAAAAACACTCTTTACTTTCAATGTAAGTTAATGGAAAGAGATTTTATTTTAAGCAGTTTTGGAGCATTTCTATTGGTCCAATCATCATGAAATTTTCGCACAATGTAAAGGACAGCTGCTGAGCTCAAACGATGCAGAGAAGTAAAAATCACAAAAATGGAGATACATACGTTTCATTGGACAGACGATATATTCACTTATCCAGCCTACTGCAGTTTAGCCCCGCCTACTCACACTGAAGTCATACGAGAGTGCCTGGACTGCTTTTTGAATAAGGCACAATACAAGAGAGCCAATCAGAACATTCAGATAGATATATCATTTGGATTTATCAGTCTCAAGGGCTCCAGGAAAAAGTACAGCCTGCATATTTCTAAAGGATAAAATGAGTTTGAGAAATGTTCATGTAAAAAGTACGTATTACGTATTACTGTAATATAAAACCATACAAACGTCATAACAGGGCCTGAGGAGAAAAAATTAAATACAAGAAAATTATAGGATATGGACACTTTAAGTGTATGTGGGATGTAATTACAGGACTTACTTTGATGCTTGAAAAACTTCAACAGGACATCAGTGAAGGTTTTGTTCATTTGTTAATTCCTAATTTGAAAAAAAAACAACAAAAGAAAAAACGTTAAAGATAAACTAAAGAACCTTGCCTATTTTGAGTAAGGTTATGTAGGCCATATCAGTGATAAAGTGCTATATTATGTCTATTAATTTATTGCACGCTTTCCACACAGACGCGGCTTCGGGACTTTTATTTTGAAAACGACTGCCCGAAGCAGCGTCGGAAATCCCGCCCTATACTGTCGCTACTTTAACCCTCGCAGGTTCATGGGCTGCGTTACAATATGCACCTTGTGTCCTACCGAGAATGCCTCGCTAGTGTTAAACCGATCGGCCTCTGTTCCAGTTATGCTTTTTAACCTGTCTTTCTGTCTTTGTTCCTCCTCTCCACCCCAGCCTCTGCCTGGGTAACCAGCAGAAATGTGCTGTCCTGTTCTGAGTAAGCAGGCGATCATTTCGCACTTTGCGCCTTTACACAACTAAACAAATCTGTTCAGCCTGACTGTCAAGCAAGTGTTCCAAAGAGAACACAAGTACACATCTTATAGGCAGCCAGAACCGTGCGCACTAGATAAGCAGTCTAAGAGTAGCAAGTACCCAACCTACAGCACAGCCACAGTGCCGAACTGGAACCGTTTGCTTATAGCAACACAACCACAGGCACTCTAGTCAGAACACCAGAACTCATATCTGAACTCAGTGGCACAGCGTTCTACCCACGGGCTACCGTAGTTAGCGCACCATATATTGGAGCGCAGCCACATAGGATTCTATGCACTACCTAAGTGTTACAACACAAGCATGCATATCGGACTGCAGTCATTCTAGAAACCCACAGTAACACCGAATTAGTTAGAAATCAAGTATGCATATTAAAACGCAAACCTTTTCGGGTCAGAACACCAAAGCATATTTAAACAGAACCGTTCTAGCTAGAACACTAACTTTACTGATACGGCGTTTAAATTTGTGGCTCAATTTTAAAATATAATTTAGCAAGGATACTCACCCGTTAGCTAGCACACTCATCTGCTGGTTAGGATACTCACCTGTTAGCTAGCATACTCACCTGTTGGCTAGGATACTCACCAGTTAGCTAGCACACTCACCTGTTGGCTAGGATACTCACCACTTAGCTAGCATACTCACCTGTTGGCTAGGATACTCACCAGTTAGCTAGCATACTCACCTGTTGGCTAGGATACTCACCCGTCAGCTAGCACACTGACCTGCTGGTTAGGATACTCACCTGTTAGCTAGCATACTCACCTGCTGGCTAGGATACTCACCTGTCAGCTAGCATACTCACCTGTTGGCTAGGATACTCACCTGTCAGCTAGCAGACTCACCTGTTGGCTAGGATACTCACCTGACAGCTAGCATACTTACCTGTTAGCTAGCATACTCACCTGTTGGCTAGGATACTCACCAGTTAGCTAGCACACTCACCTGTGGCTAGGATACTCACCTGACAGCTAGCAAACTTACCTGCTAGCCAGCATACTCGCCTGTTGGCTAGGATACTCACCCGTCAGCTAGCACACTCACCTGCTGGTTAGGATACTCACCTGTTAGCTAGCATACTCACCTGTTGGCTAGGATACTCACCCGTCAGCTAGCATACTCACCTGTTGGCTAGGATACTCACCTGTCAGCTAGCATACTCACCTGTTGGCTAGGATACTCACCCGTCAGCTAGCACACTGACCTGCTGGTTAGGATACTCACCTGTTAGCTAGCATACTCACCTGTTGGCTAGGACACTCACCAGTTAGCTAGCATACTCACCTGTTGGCTAGGATACTCACCAGTTAGCTAGCATACTCACCTGTTGGCTAGGATACTCAGCAGTTAGCTAGCATACTCACCAGTTGGCTAGGATACTCAGCAGTTAGCTAGCACACTCACCTGCTGGCTAGGATACTCACCTGACAGCTAGCATACTTACCTGTTAGCTAGCATACTCACCTGTTGGCTAGGATACTCACCAGTTAGCTAGCACACTCACCTGCTGGCTAGGATACTCACCTGACAGCTAGCAAACTTACCTGTTAGCCAGCATACTCGCCTGTTGGCTAGGATACTCACCTGCTGGTTAGGATACTCACCTT